CCCTGCGGCCTTCGGCATCCCTCTGCCGGGGCGCTCGGGGGTGTGAGTGCGTGCCCTGGCCGGCCTCAGCCAGCCCTCCCTGCGCCGCCCTCCTGCCGCAGGAGGCCGGAGCGCCTGCTGTGCTCCTGCCCAGTGCCTTCGGCATGCGGTGCAGCGCTCGCCAAGCGGGCTGAGCTTGTGCCAGAGGAGGCGGGCTGCTGTCCTACCCGCCCTGCCTTTGCAAAGGCGCCGTGTCGTGGAGTCCGTTTCTTGTCTGTTGGCAGACTCTGCAACCGCTGAGTTACAGTCGAGCTGACTGAAGTGCTACATGTGTGGTGCTGTTTGTAATTTTTTTGAAGAAGCAGCAGCAGTTGTGGATGTAGATATAAATTTGTTTTCCAGTTCTGTTAATCCAGAGTCTCTAACACTTCTACCCAAGCCTCCTAATTACTAGTGCAGTTTAACGCGTGTACCAAAAAATCTATTCGAAAGTAAGGGGTTAGTTTACCTGGTTTTGAAATCTGAAGAATCTCTGAAAGCAGCCTCATCGTTGACAAGCATTATTGTTTTTTGACATCTTTTACAAATACAATAGTCGATATTCCTGAATCTTAAAAAGATCTTTAAATTATTATTCTTCTGTATATCTGTAACCAGTTTTTACTATTGAGCTGAGTCAGTCTAAGCATGACTCTCCTCTTAGTTGGTCTTGGTACAGTCTGGCAGGACAAATGGCCCAAGATTCCCTCCAGAGCACCTTGTTTTTGTAGGTCCAGGAAGCATGATGGTGCAAATCTAGTCTGGTTTTGGCTTAGCAGAAATGGGACAAAATATGTAATGCTGTTATTTCTTATACATGTTTTTACTGAGAACATTCTGCGGAACAGAAAAGGCATGAAAGGTGTACTAGAGGAAGGAAGATGCAGCCCACACTGAAGTGGTGGGAGATTCACCTTTTGCATAAACATGTTGTTTTTATATGGTAAACAGACACCACCCTGGAAACAGGAAATTATCATCATCTGCCATGTAAGCCATTACTTTAAGAATGTATTTCCCTGTTCTAGCTTGCCTGTTACAAGGCACTATAAAAAAAGTCTTAAATGAACAAAATCTTACCCAGAGCTTTTATAGAAGTTAGGGGAAAAAAGTTCATTTATAACTTTTCATGACTAGACTATGGGAGTACTTTTCCTCTGAAACTAGCAGAAAAATCTAGTAACCATTTCTTGAGAGCAAACCACATTGTTAGAACGTGAAACTTCATCATTACTGACTTCAGTTTAGCAATTTCATGTTGACCCTGCCAGACCTGGTCTGGCTTCTATAAAGCCACCGCGCCTGTTGTAACCTTATGTTGTAGGCAGTGCTAGAGTGAAGCTGGCACTTCTTTAGAGTTAGTTTGTTTTATTTTTGCAAGGGAGGGAAGCATTAGCTGGCTTAATTTTTGGACTGGTTTAACTTCTTGAACTGACGTAGTCTTCAAGGATCACAGAAGTGCAAGGGAAATAAGCAAAAATGCAGGTGTTAGCTGGGAAGGGCAGGATTGCAGCAGTACTGACTTACGTAAGCTGCTTCGCCTTTCAGAATGACATCCTCAGGGTTATGATGCAGGAGTGGGGACAGCTTACCTTGGAGTGCTTGCAGTGATTTCTGTCCTCAGTACTCTGTGCAGCTTCTCTGTCTGAAACTGCAAATCTAAGGCTATGATAGGAAAGCTTTTATTGTGGCTACTGTGGAAATGCAAATTACAGGAATAGACAACAGGAAACTATTCACTGCCTTACTTGTATCTCAGTGAGGAAAGGCCAGCTATTTGAGAATTTCTGTTTTCTTAGTTCTTGATTACCTGAGAAAATGAAGAATGCCTGGGCAGGTTAATCTAAAGTAGAAGATCTCAGCTGTATCTGGCAGAGAAAGCAAAAATGCACAAATCTAATTTCCTGTAGCACATCATATTTCTGTCTTCTAGGAAAATGTGGTCGAACTAGTGACAAGTAGGCCAGGTCCAACCTGTGGAACACTTTTGTTTAGACTATTGCCTTTTCTTTTGAGATGAAAATGTGTTTGCTTCCACAATAATTAACACTTTCTATTGTACGTAGTACGTGCACATATGTCTATGGCAGCCCGTGTTGGGGCAAAGGAGAAGAAAAGGCTTTTTTCCACTGTGAGTGTGTGGCACAGTACTAAGCCTGGAAATTATCACTTCTGTATCTTACTGAGTCCTGAACCTGCCATCCAGTCCTATTGCTGCGGACTGGAGCACATAAAGATGATGAATATTTTTAATTAGATATTGTTCCATGTTTATATCTTAATGTATATTATCAAATTGACCAGTGTGTTTGTATGTGAGTCTTGTGGCAATTACATGCAGGTACTTATTAAGGGAAACTACTGTATAAAAAGTAGGAGGAGGTGGGCATTGTTGTGAGAGATGTACAGCCTAAAAAAAAATCAGAATTGTGAATGATTTCCTTAGAAGGAGATGCTTACATCTGAAAAACAAAGCCCTGTAATGAGGGTTTGGCTTTGTACTTGCTCTGGTCTTAATATGCCTGAGTGCCTTGGCACAAATCTGCTGGTTAGTGTATCTGCAAAATGGAGAAGGCTTTTTTCAGCAGAAGTTACGAAAATACCAAAGCAGTGGAAAATAAACAAAACTTGGACAGTTCTGATCTCTTTCAGACACACATTTCTTTCTCATGTGCACTGTTTTAAAACTTGGGAGGGTTATTTAATTTTAAAGGGCTGAACCAGACCTCAAAACTTGGGACTTTTACCTTTGTAAGTTGGTTTTAGAGTTTTTATTTTCCTCTGACAGATCTATTCTGAAGATGGAATCCTGAGAATCAAATTGAGTCTTGTTCTTGTTTACTTTTAGATGCCTGTCTTAGATGTCAAGCTGAAAACAAACAAGAAGATTGTGTTGGTATGTAGTGATTTCATTCACTTGTTTTTCAACTGAAGCTCCTCTCAGTAGGATGCATTTTAAAGTTTGAAGGGAATACTGATTTTATTAATGCTCAAAAGTAAACTGGTGTTCCATTCTACGTCATGTAATCTTTTTACATTAGTAATACTTTATGCTTTATTTTTGAGCACTAATAAAATGAGTTTTCACTTCAGATGTGCTGTAGAACAAAACAGTTTCAAATTTGCTGTCAACATGTGCAACTGAGAGGTTTAAGTTTCTGTCACCCTGGGCATAAATAAGGAGATGATAATGTAGACTTTTGAAGTAGGTAGGAAAAGGCTATGGGTTTGTTTGGTTTGGTTTGGTTTTTTCTTTCTGAGATGCATGCCAGAAGACACAATGGTAATACCAATAAAAATCCTTTAATCTGAAATAAATGTTTATCTGGGTTAGAAAGTGGTATTTTTCCCAGTCTTAATTCAGACACAGAGGAGGCAATTGCTTGTTTGTTCACTTTTCATCTGAAAAAGTGGAATCACTTGAGTTTGCTATAATGCTGTTTAAGCATAAACATATTTTCAATTGCATACCAACACATGCAGAAGCAAGTCTTAACTTAATTCTGATATTTTTAGGTCAGAAATAGAGACAGTTGTCCCAAAGAATTTGCTCTAAACCTTCAACTTTTAAACCAGTGGTAAAACTTTCCACAACCTTATTGTTTCCGTTGTGAGGTCTCAAACTTAATCCACTGTTGGTTTTGATGATTGTTTTAATCAGAACAGGAATTTTCTGTTCCATGTAACCGGCTTGCTAAGTGTCCTACTTAAGATATTCAGAGAGAACAAAAAAGCATAATTTACAACACTCCTTTGATTGATACCCTTGTATTCCAATACAGAAAATGTGAAGTAATAAGAGAAAAAAAATAATTTTGTTTAGGAGTAGGTGGACAATAGATAACCCTTTTTGTTGTGTTGAAACAGCTGTAGCCTGTGAATCACTTCTGGTCTAAGATCCCATTTTGAGGCTTTATACTGTGTCAGAAGTGCCTCCTTGATATCATACCTTTAAGTTTAAACATTGCATTTCAAATGAGAATTTGGTGATGAGTTCTTGTGTGATAGTACATCAGTAGTGCATTGGCTATCCTTTGGTACTGGGGAAGATAAAGTGAAGAACTTAGATAGTGGCATTTATTGTCTGCACAGAACTGATAAATGTGCTTATATATTCACAAAACTGTGTCACTTTATACAAGAAGATGATAATATATGGGGTTTTTCATAACTGGAAATAAATAAAAGGGTTGATGACAGAGAACTGGCTATCATCAGAATGGCCATAATCAGTCTCAGTGAATAATTCACTGATGACCCATTTTGTCTCTAAAGCTTGCAGTGGTTATAAACATCAGAGAATGAGAGTTTGGACCTTGTTGTACGTGTTGGTTGGACAGCTGAGCGTGACTGGAACGTGTTATTTTCTTCTCTTTCAGTGGTCTGGGGAGAATGCAATCATTCCTTCCACAACTGCTGCATGTCCCTGTGGGTGAAACAGAATAATCGCTGTCCCCTCTGCCAGCAGGACTGGGTAGTCCAGAGAATAGGCAAATAAAAACACTGCTGGTTTTATTTCTGTTGAACTTGCTGAAGTACTGTATGTCTTATGCCATATGCTCGTCCAAAAGAATGGCATGATTTATTTAGTTTATCTGCTACAAGAACAGTGGTTTTGTTGTATGCTCTGCTGTTCGAGGCGGCAGTGGTCGGTCTTACTGCAGATATTTCCCCAGCTCCAAAAAGAGAGACACTATGTTAACAAATGTATCTGTTATGATTTGAGTGTTAACCATGTCAGAGCCTAGAAATGTGGTGGTGCAGATTATGCCCTAAATGCAGTTTATTTAATGTTTTTGCACGGATAAATAAATTAATTTGAAAGGGCAACCTTACCTGTAAGTCTCATATGCTGCATAGTTTACTGTCAGGATAAGGAACTTGTTTTCTAAGTAATATTGTATACCAAAACACAGTTGGTGAGTTTTTCAGAAAGTATTCGTTTTTTAAAATCTAAAATAAATAGTGTAAAGCATTTGCTATGTGCTTTTTCTATCACACTATACTAAACATTTCTAATTTAGGTTTTCTTTTACTTTAGAAAATCTTGTTTTGTTGTATCTCTGAGTCCATTGCTGTATTTTATTCTCTTCTGTACATGATTTCTGCAACCGTAGTATTGAAATTTAACCACATTATTAAAAAAATATCTATTTCTTTCAAAGGTCATGGAAACATGTATTTTTAATCCAGAGACTTCTGGTACAAGGACAGGTATTTGGTATCAGCTAACTAGGAGCGTAAACAATCTCACTGGTTAGCTGACTAATACAGAAAGCAAACAAAACTGATAATTTAAATATCCCAAGGAAAGCAGGTACTAATTAAATCTAGGGAAAAAATGTTAAATTGTTATTTCATGAAGTCAATTAATATAAATTTATGATAATTTTATTGGTTACAGTGTTTTGGAAGTGGGAGAAAGCATTGCATAATTTTTGTAGAAATTCTCAATATATCTTTTTTATATGAATCATGTTTTTTTTCTTACAAATATTGTAAGTGCTTGTCTCTGCTTTCTCTTTTCCCTAAATATGTGAAGTAATTACTATTCATCTGTACATCTGCTGTGGTTTTTCTTTAAGATATGTAATAGGTTGGATTACTGCTTTAAGTCTGTAACAAGTTCAGGCTTAATAAAACGGTTAATAAATCTGGGTGAAATTGAAGCAACATTATACACATATTGTTTACTTAAACATTTAAGATGATAGTTTTAAAGGTTAATGCATTTCTCAGCAGATGTAGTTCTAGCTAGTTCTGTTCATTTTAAGTATATTTAAAGAGGTTTATCTTCACTGTATAAAGTAGTTCCAGTTGCCGTCTTTTTGTCATAAAACATACCTATAGAGTTTACTGTGTTTGTGTTTAATGCTTGTAATCTTGATTTGAAGATGTTTTGTTTTTTTAAATACAGCTTTCGTCTTATTACACACTGAGATTAAAAAAATCCTCCATGTCACTGCTACAGTGTGTCTGATCGGTTGTTATCCCAGATGGTTTCTGTCTTAAAATTGAAAACAAATACAAAATAGGTTAAGGTGCCTGTAGCATTTGTGGTGGTGTGGAGTATTTCATCTTAGCTTTTCTGTTTGTGTAAAAAAGATTCTTCTTAAAATGATCGCAAAAGAAAATCTGCTTGAATGTGAAAGTAAGTTTTAGCTGCAGAAGTTAAACTTTATCTTATCTACCACTTAGTTTCTCTGCCAGAATGTATTCACAGACTCCATCCTCTGACCTCTTTTAATTCCATCTAGTCCCATCAAATTAGGACGACTTCTTTCATTTTGCTGAAGTACCAAAATAGTTTTCGCCCTGCTTTCAGTTCCCATCACGTGCATGACGAGTAGCTAAGAATTATAATTGTAGAAAGGTTTTCCAAAGTGTCAACTCAAACCGGTGTTAAAACAAATGAGGTATTAGGAAAGTTAATATTGAAATCAGAGAGGCTGATACTTGTGTGTATCTATTTGTGTATTACAAGTATCTTGTTGCCCAGTAATTAGAGGTTCACCTAGAATATAAGGTACTGAATTTATCTGCATATTTTGTGTGATTTAGAGATTAGCTTAAGTCCCATTCTTTCTATGAGCTTTGCACCAGAGGAATTTTTCTCCTGTTCCAAATCATACCCTGATACTCCATTAGCATAGCTCTTAATAAGTACACATTTTTAGTCCTCAGTTTGTTCGCCTGTTGTACATGCAGAATAAACAACAACCAAACACACTGTTTTGTGGGTTGGTAACACTAACTTCAGTAGCTGCTGTTGAGTAACAGATTAATGCTGATCTACTTTTCTCCACTGTTTATTAAATACTGGGTAGATTTGGATAATTCAGCAAATCTAGCTGGAATCTTCTCTTAAAAGTGACTAGAGTAATGAGTATGTGTCCAAAGAGCATATTGCTTCACTTAGCTTTTTATGAAGTTACATTCTTTTAGAGAAAGTTTATGTTCTATAGAATGTGGCAGGATTCTCATTACTGGAGCAGAGTGATTTTTGGAGGTGTGAATATGTTTTTCTTATGCAGATATCATAAACATTATGTATTTCTTGGTTTGCTTAGACATTAGTATACCAGCAGCTGGTGGAAGCTTGAGTACACCCTTAGGTCCCCAGCTACGAGCAATTTGTGCTGCTACTCTAAGTTTGAGCTGTGGTGGCATTCTTGCTACATGTAAAATAGACTGGTGAATTTTAGGAGCTGAAATTAAAGCTTTTGTTATCTCCTTTATTGTTTTTCTGTACCCAGGATATTACAGGAATATGTTGTTGTGGGCACCATTTTCAGGAAGGCCACCAGCAAAATTCTGCATATCTTCCTCTGACTTTTTTCAGTTCTGCTTACTCTGCTGGCTGCATTCTTTAGCCTTTTATGTAACCTCCTTCTGCCCTGTATTGCATTCACCTGTACAAGTGATTGCTCTACAAGCAGGACTTTCCCATTCTCTACTTCAGAGGCCACCATGTTCTCGTGCATGCACAGCAGTTTGCAATGGATGGTGCTCTCAATCACAGCTAGAAAAACACTAATGTAATTTTGTAGAGTATAAGCATGAGTTATATGGCAAATGGATTCCATGCAGACAGGATTAAGCATGTAAAAACAAAATACTACATAGTAGTAGAGTGACAAAAAGCAGCCAAGAAGGGCTTAGCACTTACTGTAGGGAGTCTGAGAGGTGCCTGTTATTATTGCTGATGTTTAGCGGTCGTGATTCAGCTCTTCACCTTGTTCTAAGAGTGAAAGGAAGAGAAAAGGAAATTTGACCTTGACCTCAGGAGTACAGCTTGGCCCCATTGCTACTGGAAGAACCATGGAACTGCTTTTCCTGTTACTACAATACTTTCCTTATGTTTAAAGTTTCAACAGCCACTTGCCCCCATGGCAGAAGGGGGCTTAGCCTAGTAAGTGCCACCCATGATTTTTATTCTTTGGGGGGAAAAAATGGGGTACAGACTTCCTGATAGGCAGCCATTGAGTGAAGTCAGGTGGAATTTGCCTTCACTTGGTTATAATCAGCTTTGTCCCTTTGTTGATGCAACCTCAGCCACACACTGTTGCCACCTTCTCATCCTTCTACTTACTGTCATACAGCTCAGCAGGGAATACAAACTGAGGACACAATAACAGATGGAAGCGACTTGGCAAGATTTGGCTGGTTGTTTGAAGTGTTTTTCCTTTTTCTGTGGGTAGGAGATGAAGTCAGAACTGTATGTTGTTTCATATATAGGGATCGTTATTTTTAGACTAGCAGCAGGTCTTAGCCTCTGCATGTAATCCGCTCAGACAGAGCCACATGAGGCATCAAGGTTTGCAGAAAGCGTCTGTGGAGCTCAGAGTCACTGATGTTGAGTATAACTTGAGTTTTGGAAGTGTAGATGCTCAAAGCACTGATTTGTGTGGTAATTTAAAGCTCAGTGACTCATCTATGTCAACTTCTGTTTCTGGCATGGCAGATTTGTGATAAAGGCTTTTTATAAAACCAGATCCCAACATATGTCATTCTTGGTACATTGGTGTTCTCTGTGTCGAGAGACAGACACAAGGCTGTCCTATTAAATGTGGCCAAAGTGCCACTGAGTTTGAAGCGTGCATGTATTGCAGACGGGAACCTTTGCATGTTCTGAGCAGCCAAGGACAGTGCATTTAGAGGGAATCTTGGTACATTTAAAAGTTATCAGGGCCCATTCTGAAAAACACCAGCTGAACTACCTATGTTTGGTACTGCCAGTGAGGTTTGCCTAGGATGTCATCCCTCGGCTATACATAGCAAACTCAAAGCTCCTTACAGAGAAACCTCTTACCAGTCACTTTCCACAAATGGTGCATATACCTAAAGGTACTTAGTGAAAATCCTTGAGAGGTATTTAATGCAAAAGCAGTTAGTCTCTCTGGTGTTTTTCAGAAGCCCCCAGACACCACTAGCAGGGAGAAGCACAGTGCAGTTACAGCACAGCACTTGGGCCAGCTACTTGTTTTGTCTCAACCAGGCTCTGCCACCCCAAGAGCTTGCCAGCATGTGTGACATGGGGGGACTTGACAACCTGATTGCCAACACAGCCTACCTGCAGGCACGGAAGAGTGGAGAGGGAGACACCAAGGAGATGCAAAAGAGACGTAGGAGCCTCTCACTGCCCAAGATTGATCAATGCAAAGAGGCTAGACAGTCCGTTGTTGCTGACTACGACAGCATCTGTGAGCAGCAGCCCATTGGCAAGAAATTCTTCAGAGACTTCTTAGAGACGGTGCCAGAATATTTGGTAGCTAGGGAATTCCTGGATGAGGTGTCAAACTGGGAGTTGGCAGAGGACAATGTTAAGAGCAGTACCATGGAAAATATGATCACCAATTTTCTTAAGGCGGGCTCCAAAAACCACCTGGCTTTCATGAGCTCTGACTTGGCCAGCAAATGCCAGGCAGCTACTGAGAAAGATTATGAGAATGTCATGCAGCTGGCCAAGGAGGAAAGCAAAGTCTTCCTTAAAGACAAGCCCTTCCAAGACTTCCAGACCAGCCCCTTCTACGACAAATTCCTCCAATGGAAAGTTTTTGAGAAGCAGCCGGTAACTGAGAAATACTTCTATGAGTTCCGAGTGCTGGGCAAAGGTGGCTTCGGAGAGGTAAGAGCTGTACTTTTAAGGATGTGGGTCATCCCTCCCCTTTCAAGACCAGCAGGTGGGTTTGCAAAGAGGAACTTGGCAATGGGTTAAGAAATTGTCTAAGGTTTTGCAAATCTTGCTCTTTCAGATTTTCAGTTTCCCAGAAATAAGGCTGGGTTTGTTATCTAAACTGTGATATAGGCTCCAGGTGCCTGTAGTGAAGAGCTACTCTAAAATTTTTATGTTCTGTATCTGTGTTAGTAAAGAAGCAGGCTACTTTACAAAAGCTTGTGTAACTGTTCATGTAGTTAATTATTGGTCTGCTCCTTGGCACTGTTTCAGTCTGTGCAAGCCTGCACACTCCCAGATAAGTGCAGTTTAGGGAATAGCACAGATCAGGATCTGTTCCCAAAATGTACTATGAATAAAGCTGCCTTTTTTGAGATAGAAGAGAGTTTAGCTATACAGGTGCAAGTTGTGTATGTGGCTTTTTCTCACTGGTCAAAGAATAGGTCCTTGTTCATTTCATTTGCTAATGCATGTCCACTAATGGTGTCCTTGAGGTCCACTGTATAAGGTCCAGAACAGATTGTATGTTTGTTTTTTCCTTATTTTCTCTGCTAATATACTCTGCCATGAAAGTTAGCATCACCAGCTACTAATAGGAACAGGAGCATCACAGATACCTGCCTATTACTGCCCTTGATATTCCAGCCTGTGTGTGTGAAATTCCTTCGTTACCTTTCCTTGTGCATCTTGCTCCTCTAGGTTTGTGCCACCCAGGTGAAAAATACTGGCAAGATGTATGCCTGCAAGAAACTGGATAAGAAAAGGTTGAAAAAGAAAGGTGGAGAGAAGATGGCACTACTGGAGAAAGAGATCCTGGAGAAGGTCAACAGCCCTTTCATAGTCACACTAGCTTATGCCTATGAGAGCAAAAGCCATCTGTGTCTTGTCATGAGCCTCATGAATGGAGGGGATTTGAAGTATCACATCTACAATGTGGGGGAAAGGGGTTTGGAAGTGAACAGAGTGATCTATTACTCAGCTCAGATTACCTGTGGGATTCTGCATCTCCATTCCATCAAGATTGTGTACCGGGACATGAAACCAGAAAATGTTCTCCTAGATGATAACGGTAACTGCAGACTGTCTGATCTTGGATTGGCAGTGCAAGTCAAAGAGGGAAAAAGCATCACTCAGAGGGTGAGTATAAATTCATTGAACATGGGCAGTGGGAAGGGAAGCTGTTCTATTTCTAATACATTGTGAGTCCAGGACTTAATTCCCTGGGATTTGTTCTTTGCTAAAGACCTTACGTGGTCATTTCATTCTGAGAGACAGGTAGTAAGAAGATTTGGTTAATTAACTCTCTAGATGCTATATGTAGTGAAATAACTTCTCTTGCACAGAAACAGTAGAATCAAATTGACCTGTTGTTTCTCTTGAGATAAACTCTGGAACCAACCATTTTAGAGAGGCTGACACAGATGCCTTGTGCTGTGAGCAGTAGTGCATAGTCAGGGATTTAACCTGTGATTTGTTTGGATAATGTGCAGCAGTCAAAGATACGACTCCTCTGTATGCGGTTTTCACTCCCAGAAGAATACAATTTCTTCCAGACATTCTGAAGTGATGCTGCTGATTGTAAGATCAAGGTGCTGCACAATAAACCACTGCCAACCTTCTTCCTCCAACAGATTAATTTCTGAGAAAGTTAGCAGGCTTGATGAGCGTTTGCAGATGTACATGTCTGTGTGTGTGTGCAGGAAGAAGGCAAGGGATGACCAGCTGATTTCTGCTGAGTGAGTCAGACCGTGCAGCACTCAGCTGTGCCTGTGGTCATCCCAAACGAACCCAGATTTGTAGTAATGTTTACACAGGAAAGATGTATTCATGTAGCTTAACTAAGAAAAAAGTGTATTTCCCCCCAGGTGTCTGGAGCTTAAAGATGTATATAATGAATGAGTGTGTCTGAAATACACTAAGAATATGAAGAAACAGAAGCAACGTTATGAACTAGTCTTACTGCCTTATGTTGAACTCCCGAGTCTTTGAAGTTTATCTGTAGAAATTCACTAGGAGAGGACCTGCTAGTAGCCTTTAGCATCGTGCTTTAAGTGCATGTCTTTTGATGTTGCTACTTAATACAGTAATTTGTAGTTTGAAGGATATATTTTTTTTCCTGGCGATTAAAAAAAATTGTATTATGAGTGGTTTTAGTTCTCAGTGAAAGAAAATATGGAAACTTATGTGGTTTTAGATAGGAAATAATTTTAAAATTAGACTGCGTTATGTTTTGGATAAAAAAATAGCATTTATGTGAAAGCTAAGGCAGATTTTAAAATAGAACTTGTGTAAAATGGGAATGTTGTTTTGTTTGTGAAGGTGGTATTTTGATCAGTGACCCCGAAGCTATAAAGACTGCTGTGTTTTGCAAGTTATAGATACATGCAGTATTATGATCAGAAAAAGTAATTTTGTCCAAGAGCTGTTTTTCCTACTCACAAATGTGTGGGGCTTGGCAGAAGGAAAAAAAAAAAAAAAGAAAAACGAAAAAGCATATTTAGAAATGTCTACCCCCTTCTGTTGGTGTGAGGGTAAAATCTCAAAGTAGCAGTGAACAAGGTGGTAGTGCCAAGTTGTTCTAATGATTTTTCTTCTGTTGTTGTTCACTGTTTGTTCACTGCACTATTCACTGTTTATGTGAGTGCTTTTATTAGAGGAAAACCTGCAATGAATCATATACTACACGATTGTAGTGAGTTAGAAGGAATTTCTATTAAAGGCAGTTTTATTCATACAGGAAATTGAAAAAGGAGAAGGGGAAAAAAATGTTTGGGTGGGTTGGTTGGTTGGTTTGTTTTCTGTATCATAACTATGAGGAAGTTAAATGAATAATAATTCCCAGTATTATTTTGCATTTCTATAAAATGTGACCCTATTTGAGTCATTTGAAAGCTCCTACTAAAAATATAAGAGAATACTAAAAATATTACTATTATTTATTGTAGTCATACATATGAAGACCTAGAAACAACTTTACAAAATTTGTTGTATTAAACTTCACCATATAACCGTATAATAAAATAAAAATGGTGCTGTTAAATTAATTTTTGTGTACTAATCACAGTTACATCGTGGCTTTAAATTGGCAGAAAGTTTGTATCATAGCATGCGTTTTGAGTATGACTACCAAAGTGTTACTACCTGAAAAAATCTTGAGAGAAGATACTTGTATAGTTTTGGGTTTGTTTCACCTAAACAGATATATGGCTTCAAGACAGATTTGTTAAATTAAATTTAATCGGTCGCACCATTTTGTGGACACAGCTTTGTACGGGCAGTTTTATAAGCTAAAGCAGAAAATATATCTCTTCAGGCCAAATCTATATTGTGTTGAATATCTGAGTGAAGTGCCTAACATGATAAAGCTGTTTCTAGACTTACAATTTTCGGTCACTAATTATAGGGATAATACTAGTGATCTATAACATAAAACCTTTTCATTTCAATTTATGTATCCATTGGCAAAGTACCCTTCTGTTTTGGTGGATATTGTAATACGCTGAACTTCATTTATATCTCCAGCAGCTCTGACTTTAAAGTTTTATTATCCTGTAATCCTCTTTTATGACCTGGTTCCTCAGTATTGCACTTAAAATACTGTTTTTGTGCACTATGAGAATAATGTCTAACTTTGCTTTAATCATACACATAAGTCATTCTCTACTGCCTGAAAGTAATTGATTGATATCCCCAGTACCAAATGAAACCTTGGTTTAGCTGTCTGGTACCGTTAATAGTCATTTATTTCACCTGTGAAGATAATTTTTACTTGGCCAGTCTTACGCATATTACAAAGAATTTAGGTAGTTTAATTGTTAAACGCAAGGTAGAACTAATTTTTAAAATTGCACTAATTGTGGCGTTTCTGTAAGGGGATTATTAAAAGAAAGTTGGATTTTTTTTTTTCTGTCCAATGAAAGCTTGTGAGCTTGAGTTGTTTGATCTTTCATTTCATTTCTTGTTTTTCATCTACGAAGCATCAGTAGCAGCAACTGTTGAATTCCTTGTTTTGCTGAAGTCCTGTTTCAGAGGAAAAAAATAATATGCTTTTTTGGGTCATATTTTAGCAGTTTAGTCACACTGAACAGACTTCTACAATGCAAGCTACCCTTGCATTCAGTAAAGCTACTTTTATTACAAGATTATATTAATTCTTCCAGTTGTATTTTGTAGGTGTGAACTAAATAGATGCTAAAGATAAAATAAAATAATAAAATATTTTTCCACAACTGTCTGAAGATCTCTATCAGCAATTTAGGTTTTTCTTCCTGACTGCAGATCTTTTCATGATCTCTCTAGTTTTTCAGGTCTTAAGTGGATCTTCCTTGTGAATAAGCAAAATAAAATGGAAAACTCTTCCATACCTTTTAGGTATCATGGAGAGCCAAGTAAACAAATATGGAATAGTTATCTGAGTTTTGGCATGTGCTTAAAAAATGTTCATTTCCGTGTGTCTGACCATAACTGTGCTGGTGTGAAAGTGTCTCTTAGTACGTCATAGACAGTGAAACACAGCAGCAGTTTCCCACATTTTTTTTTTTCTCCTATATCTCTTTTTTGCTATGTATCATGAAGTAGAAACATCATGTAATGGCTTTCATTGTTCCTTATACAGGATTGAATAGTATATAATACATGGATTTATCTATGTATTTATTTCATTAGAGATTTCAAAAATGCATTATTTTGACACATTGGGAAAGTTTTGTGCACCTCTCATGAGTGTACAAGCCATTAAAGATATATGCCACTTCAAAAGCATCAGAGAAGTTCTTAGCTTCTCGTGTATAAATAAATGCACATCACCCATACATCAGCTGGAGGATGCATAAATCTCTGTTGGAAATCTCATTAGGTGATTAGGTTATCACATGTCACAAGTGATAGGATAGTTAACGTGTTCATGCTTTAGACATTTTCCAAGTTTTCAGTGAAGAATTCTATGAAACTATAATGTTTATCTGCTGTTTACCAGCCAAAGATTGTTGTCTTTGTGGGTGGAAAGGTTTTCTGAATTTCTGATGTTGACTTTAATGTGGTTGTCTTATGAAATAATGTGTGTTTATGCTGCATTGTGCAGCTGATGGTTTAATACATGATTGAAGAAGTTGCCTTGGTATCCTTTAAGTATTGTCATTGCATATACTCCTTTTGAGAAATATTGGTGTGCTCTATACCACTTGTCTGTAACTGATGAGTAAAAGTACCCTACTTTAAGAAACAATGCTTCTTACAAAGGTCTTGAAGGAGTTGGATATGCAGCCTTAGTTTTCTCCCTTTCTTTTCAATTGCTAAAGCAGCAAGTAGAAGCATCTGGCGTTCTATGTGAATGTTATTTAGGATGTATGTAGGCAGCTGTAATAATTAGAGTTTAGAAAGCTACACACTAAGGTGCGGCGATTTGCATTTGTGAAGTGCTAGCTGGCTTTACAATGGAGAAATCACAAAAGAAACCCCCACAATTCTGAACAATAACAGTCTTGGAAATAAAAAGTAAAAGGCAGTTGAAAGCTACTTAGAATGTACTTTTTCTTTATGAAACAAACATGGATTACATGGCATCTTCTCATGATACATGCACGTACCTGTGCAGTCTACCTGGAAATGTGTATATGCATGCTTACTCCGGCAGAGTTCTTACTGACATCACTGGAAGCAGAAATAAACTCATGCCAGTGATAATACAATTATTCAGGACTTGAGGAAATATCGTTACGACTTTTCATACAAGTGTACTTGTAGCATCAGTTCTGATGTGTTGGTCATACCGTGCCTACTAGACTGTCTTACAGTTATGCCCTTTCAAATGCTTATATTCTCTTTGGCTTACAGAATTACAATAGGCAACAAGGAGAAAGGATGACTTTTGCATAGGCAGAATGTTCAGTCGAGTTGCATACTCACTTGATCGATTCTGGAACTGCTGGTTTTTGCACATGACATAAATGAGGAGCCTGCATCCTGTTTCTCCACTTGAATGGTGTGACCTGGCATCCATTTTCGTGAAGTCTATGCAACGTTTTCTCATACAACTCAAAATTCACTTGTTATATGTGAGTCAAATGCTCCTGCCCTTATCCAAAAGAGTAATACTACTTAATTTGCTGAGAATGGTTGCAGGAAAAGTAAGCATGTTC